ATTAGATCCATGTTATATATTTTTAGCATATTGTTGCTACAGGGTGTGCGAAATAGTTATCATTTTCCTCATAATCTTCCTCAAATTAGATCAATGTTATATATTTTTAGCATATTATTCCCACTCAAAGTTTAATTACTGCCGTATTGATTTTCTTTTGATTGTTTTAGAAGGCTCCACACAAGTAATATCAGGAGTGGGTATATGTGAAAAAGTCTAAAATACCAATTTGAAATGCCTGTTCTTGAATCGCAAACAAGTATTTTTCTCAGTTTGAAATGATATTTCATCTTCAATAGGGGATAATCCAGGGGTGAAGAGGCCAGATGACCAGTGGTGTCTTGTTCATTACAATTCAGTCAGCTAGTACCATAAATGAACAGTAGTAAACACTTAATTTAGTGAAGGATTTATGAAAGCCCTCTTCTTAGCTCAAGCTCATGTGAGCTCGGATGAACAGTAAAATCTCAAAAAATACAAATAAAAATCTGAATTTTATTGGCAACAAACATTGATGTGTGTTTCACATGCGAGCAAATTCAGTGTTTGAAACACCCCATCCATGGATTCGCTGTTTTTATTGGGTTTGTTTGGACCTATGTGCCAAACCAGCTACGCCTCTGGATACATCAATCATGAAGCATGAGCATGACAATTTGAGATATATATGCCCTGTTTACTGATCCTTTCAGTTCAATGAATTATGCTAGTGATCGCTACTGCAATTGTATCCTTCTTTGCAGCTGGCGCTTTTTCCATGCTTGGTTGAAAGGAGAAGGTGACGAAGAGAATAATTAAAGTGCAGAACAATAGAAGTTGAGGGGGTGAACGGGATCGCATGGTCATTCAAGCAGCATTGTTCCCAGAACCATTATTGTAAGTCACAAGGTAGGAGAAAACAGTATTAATAACAGCCAAATCAATTTGAGATATTTCGTCACTGCACATCCCAAAAAACATGATCATCTTGATATCCACTTCACAGAACTCATTGTCTCTCAATCAAATAAAGCAAAGTTAATAGGGCTCCCTTGCCCTTCATACGGCAATCTTTCTGATTCTTGTCAATGTTAGATATTTCTTGTCCAACACTATGTCGTAAATTGTAGCGGTTTCTTTATTGCTAGTCTGTCTGCTGAGTTGCACTTGATCTTACATATAAACACAGAAGCATAGTTCCTCTTGCTTGCTTATTCTTAATCTAGCAATAAACCGTCGAACACCCGTGCGCGGTATTAATGCACATTTGGCTGCCTAGAGCGCTGCAGTTTTTGCTCCATGACAGTAAATCAACTAGTTATCGTATAATTTTACCCCTCTTGACAGGTAGACGTTTCCAAAGATCAACGTTGTTGCTTGTAGCACTTGGAGGAAAACAAGCGTATTGATCATCAATCGCAGCCAAGTGAGCTTTCTTCTGCCCAGGGTGGCAACAGATGGGGCAATTTGCAGCTTAGCGCAAGCAGCAGCATAGCCAACCAGAAGAGATTTATACCAACAGCCCGGTAGCATATCCATATACTGCTATTGGGAGACAAACATACACTGCTACTTTTTAGTTAGTATATCATGTTCATGTCACTACAACCATAAATTTACGGCATTCTTTGTCTGGTTCTTCATGTAGAAAATTTATCATTGACAGTATGTTGTATTCTCGTTGTTTCTACTCAATTGACGTGTACAACACAGGTGGAACAATATAAAACACGTGTTAGCACTTTATTCTATCTGGGTGTGGCTACGTCAAGTGATATATAGTATAAGAGAAAAAAAAGAAAAAACTGAAAAGATTTTTTTACATGAATCTTCATGCAAGATCAAAGTTAGCATCAACTGAGACTTAGCAAAACTGATTCAGAATTTGTACTTGAAAGTGTCAGAAAACTCGATCAAAAATTCTGAAAAATGGAAGGCGGTTCAAAAACTTGTGCAATAAATAAAATATATGCCTTGTTCCCCTATGTTTGTTGCTCCCCATAAATTCAGAACACTACAAGGGGAGCTGTTCAGTGCATCCACCCAACGACAAGACAGGAACTCACTGGCAAGTTTTCGAGCCAGATCCATTTCTCCTGGGAAGGACCAAAGGAGACCGATCTTTATACCGTCTCCTACGGTCACACAAGAACACCAGACGCCTCACAACTATCAGCCAGACAAATATTAGTCCTACTCTACAGACGCTTGTTATCAACTATTCACTTAACTTTATACCATATACAATTCTACAATGTACAACAGCTGCATAAGTTATCATATAAACCTCATATGCAGCAACTAGATTCCTATGTTGTTCACTTCCTTTTGATCATTTCATCGCAAAATTGTTGGCAGCCATATGTCCAATCTCTGCTGGCTGGAGCCGCTTGATGTAATATTTTGATCCGCGTGAGAGATTGATTCGTTTTCGCCTCTTCACTGGGATGGATTCCACTGAGCATTCCTTGAAGCCACGCCGGACAAACCTGTTGAGGTTCAAGTGTAAACATGAGAAACATCCGGCACTGCATTACGACATGAACATATTTTCACCACCAGAAATAAAATGCACTCTAAAAATATGAGCAGATATAGCAGGTTTTATTGATGCATCAAGAAAGATGGTGGGGTTGACTCTTAATTGAAGGAACCGTGAAGTATTCCATGATTAACCACAGCTGCTCATCAACAATGAATATTATGGAGTTCAAAGATTATTAAAACATCTACACATACGTACCAATTTGACAACAACTAGAACATAACTACATACCAGTCTGCTGTCCGTGTGGTAAGCAAGAATATTTTCTCAAGACCAAGGGATAATGCCTTCTTTTCAACATAATCTGCAGGAGTAGATCAGCCATGATAAGTATTTGATAAGCACTAGTCCATTGCAGTGCACAATTAGTGCTAGAGAAAGATGAAGTAAATGGTGACAACATATAAGGTGGAGACTCAATTGTGGTGATTTTGTTTAAGTTTCTTGGTTTATACACACACACAAAATTAATAGTAGGAAACATTCCCAAGAAAAACTGAGGTAGTTCTCGGTTAAGCAAAATCTCTCTTCCAAATATCAAATTCTAATTCAGTTCATGTTGGTAGACTAAGATTACAGTATACATGAAAAAAAGTTAACAAGGCGAAGCAAAACAAACAGTATGCCAACGCTCTAGAGTTAATATTACCAACCTCCATGCTTTCTACTAATGTGCAATTTAAGTATTGAAGTTGTAGGCTGCGTTTGGGATCAAGGTGGGTTCTTATAATCCCGTTCATCCCACTCGCTTTACCCTATTTTAGTGCCTGATTGACGAGCTTTTTGCCTACTTTCATGACTTCCACAGCAGATAATAAGTTAAGGAAGGCACAACACAGTTCAGCGACCACAAGATTAGATGTTTGCAACATAGAATTAAACATTAATATACACTTTTTATGACAAATAGTTGAAAGTAAAGGTTTGCATAGCCTTTACTGAGCAGACTAACGAGGTGGATTTGCAACAGTCTTACCAAGTAACTTGTCTCCTTGACCCTGTCCTCGACATTCTTCAGAGACAGCTATAGCAGCAACTTCCCCAGATTTATCCTCAAAAAAGGGAAAGAGAGCAGCACACGCAATGATTGAACCATCTCTTTCCACGACAATAAATGACTTCAGTGCTTCCAAAAGCTGTTGAAAGATAAAAGAGAATGCTTTGTTCAGTTTCATAAAGAGGCATGTCTTAACTCAGGCTATTAGTGTTTACACTGCTCAAAGTCCGCATGATAATGAGGTACCTCTTTATCTGTTCTCTGCACTAGGACACCGGATTCTTCTAGGGGACGAAGGATTTTTCTAATACCAGAAAAATCCTCCTCTCTAGCCGTTCTTGTTCCTTCATACATATCTCTGTTAAATGAGTGGAAAACATCATTTCCCTGCACTTTGCTCCTATATATATGCAGTAAATATGTCCTATTCCAGATCATAGGCATTCTCAAATAGCAGCGCATATTATCTGCTGTGACATTGATAGCATGCATGCGTTTTGAGCTTTCGCAGAACTTATATAAATCAATAGCTCAACAGGCATATAGGTGCATTGCAAGTACGCAATTGTGGGCTTACACATCAAGACTAATGTTTCGTGACAGCTAGGAAAGAGCAAGAGTTTCAATATACCTTGCTATTAGTGTTCCTGCACCATCTCTTGTGAATAATTCTAGCAACAATGACCCCCCAACAGTGCCATCTATGATATGAACTCTTTGGACACCGCCCTGATATGTAAAAATGAGAAGATCCTAATCAGGAAAAAGGAACAACAGCAATGCATAAATAATACAAAAAATACATGAACTGCCGTACATCATATACTTTTGCCCCATGGAAACAGAATATTCCAAGGACCACAGTGGATATGATTCCCGGAGAAACATGGCAGATACAAGTACCACTCGGGTCAATAAACAAGATATATTCAGTAAAAAAATGGTCTTTGAGCAGGATAGTTGTCTAACATCATGATATGTATAGGACAATTTTTTTGGCGGGGAATATGTATAGGGCATTTTTTTGGCAAGGAATATGTATAGGACATAATGGTGCACACTGATGAATGTACAAAAATTGCATCTGGTGTACTAACATGTATTCATACACCAAAAGCAGTTTGGAAGATAAAGAGTATCCTATAATATTCAAGTTTGGTGTTAACAATGTTGGAACCCTAGAAACCATGTAATCTAGTGCAGAAGTAGCAACTTCAGAGCTCACACTTTTATACCTCCTAAATCCAACTCAAGAAAGAAGCAAAAACTTACATGGCATACGTATGCTGCTGCAGCCAACTCTGAAAGGTAGCCATTTGACCTGCTCAACCGCTCTGCCCCACCAATAGCAAACCCTTGCTCACCAGACAGACCATTTCCATTATTGAAACCCACACCATTCCGAAAGGATGCAGTGTAATCGCTGACGAAATCTCTTCCAACCCATACTTGTTCTTTCTCTTCTTTGATAGGAAAATTGTGGGCATAACTAATGTCCTCCTCCCCTACAACCTTTACATAATTTGCAGCAGTTTCACTCTGCTTAGCGCGTGTTCTGATGAGCATATCTGCTTCCTCGATAGACATGAAACGATTGACTCGGCCATGCTCGTCATATATTTGGCCATCAACAACACAGATAAGCTTGTCCGCCTCGATAGCCAAAGCACATGCTGTCGCAACTTCGTATGTGCTGAAAGTCAGTAAAAGTAAGACTAATATCAGATGATGTTGAAGATAAGAATGTTGTATCTGTCTCATCTTGTATTTCATAAAAAAAAATCCTTACGTGAAGTTATGTGAACTGTTTGATAGTGATTTTTAGAAGTGTTACTGCAGAATAAGAAGAAAACTACAAAGTGAATGGGGTAGACATCATACTTGCAATTTAACACCTCTCCTGAACTGGAGTATCCCATATTGCTCACGACAACTATGCTATCCCTATCAAGTCTTTCTTTTATCCGTGAAACATCTATTTTCTTAACTTCACCAGTGAATCCATAGTCAATGCCACCAACAACTCCTCGTCTCTGCCACAAGAAGAGAGAGGTATTTCAGTTCGCCATTTCAGAACAAGTATACAAACCCACTCAAACATTATTATCTCAAGACAAGCAAAAGAAAAAAGATGCCACATAGAGGTTCATAATCTTAATTTTAAGCTTTACCTAAGTAGTTCCAAATTCCAAAACTTGACACTCATATAAGTACATAATATTAATACCTCGCGATGGGTTCAGTTAGTTTTTTTATTTCTGATCTTATGTACCGTCCGATGTGTGACTTGGCAGTTCTGTTACTCTGTTAGTAATGAAGTTATGTCTGATCTGATGTATAGTCGATGTGTGCATTGGCATATTATCCCTTTCAACTGCATCTATCATTGGACAGTCATACTTATTTGAAAATAAGTTAACAGCCCCTCGTGCACCACTAGGGGTGCTTAACGCCACTTCGCCAACTGGCCTCTACACTTTGCAATGGCCACTTTGCCAAAAACAAGTTAAGAATACGCCTCCAACTTTCAGGGCTAATCTTTCAAGCGTCAGATGGGTCCCCTATATCTGCTTTTGACTACTCTTCGTAAAAAAAATTGCATCTAGAAATAGATGAAACCGATATGGTACCGAAAACCAGTATAGTATGCCATGCTAACCTTAGCACCCAGGAAGTTTCCGCTTGCAACATTGTCGGAGATTTCGTGCCAGCGACCATTAACACCATGTCGACGAAGATCTAGCATTGGGGGACCAGGAGATAGCTTTGCTTCTATAGTAAGGCGTATTCTGCCAGCTGCCTCCATCGCAGCATCTAATGAATCAGAATCTGTAATACGGTAACGACCACCATAATTGGCCTTCTTTCCTGAGAAATTCATAAAGTGAGCTCCTTCACCACTGTGCACACATGTAGTACAATCACCAATACTATTTAAAGAAAAGATATGTGCAACGACAAATCATCAACCACGGCATCAAAACAAAGTATAGCACTGGTTATGTAGCTTTTACTTTGCAGTACTTCGCCAATCATCAACACTATAAGAACCAAGAAATGACTTCAATACTTAATCTCCATTTCCAAAAGTGTGTGCTGAACCGAAAAATAGAAAAACCATATATGAGATGAGACAAACTATGACTGGAATGCGCCACGATACTTATGCTATTAAACTGACTGGATATATCTCCCTCGATATGCTATATATATGCAAAACAAAAAACAGGATGTTCCTCTATACGTAATCTTTATCCAGAGCTCACTCAGCCGTGCTTATCCGAAATAATACCCCCACTTTCCTTATATGCCACCAAATACTCCCCCCGTCCCAAAGTAAGTGTCTCAACTTTGTACTAACTTTAGTACAAAGTTGTACTGAAGTTGAGACACTTGTTTTGGGAAGGAGGGAGTATCAAATACAGCATATAGAAATAAATAAATAAACAAATAGGTTCAAAAACATCAATGAACTTGTGAGATTTGTGGGATGTGAAGAATAATCCTTTTTGTTTTGTTCCAACGGTAACCAAACACAGTCACTTCAATAGTGTGGACGTTCATAGAAAAACATATCTATTCAAAGCATTTTAGCATAGAAAAGAGTAAAAAAATGCAAATCTTCAGCTAACCTCTATCAGCCAAGAGCTTATCAATCTGAACATGTGTTCCAGGAACAAGAACAAATTTGATCCCAAGACCATGTAGAAGCGATATATCCTGCATGTCGAATTAATGTGAATATTGTGGAACTACACATAAGTTGTCAAAAGTATATAAAAATACATTTTAAAGAAAATTTCAACAAAACTACGCTCTTTAACTTAACACAGATCTACACCTTTAGTGAACTGTCATTTCAGCAATTGAACACTGACTAAGCCATTATGGTAATGTCATGGACCAGGGTTCATGAAAGGTAACACCTCAGCAAATCTTTATTATTTATAAATCTTGTTTTAGAAGGAGGAGCAGGTCAACCTATCCAAACCCAGGCTCAGCTACCCGGGTGCAAGATTTATTTCTTGGTAATTTTCATGTACAGTGACACCACCCCATCATGAGATGGAAAATATGTGTGGTTTTACACCGGGACACTGGGTCATTTTCTTTCTGGGGTCCGCACCTTCCAAGATATTGTTAACAACAATATTCAACAGAAATGTTTTGATGACAATGACTGTTAGGCACATTGAAAGTAACACGAAGTACACGTGCAGGTGCAGCTGTTAATTTACTTATTATCTTCTCCAACAAATCAGTGAAGGAGGCAGAGCTGGTTTGAACTTAGATCAAACTAGCTTGACCACTCATATCGCAACCAGCCGTCGGTTTCTCTCTTGACGTTGCTCTCTTCTTTGCAGCAGAATTATTATAAGAAAGCAACTGTGCTGTCCAGCTCGAACAATGACATAGCAAAATCAAGGCCGCGGAGATGGCCCCAAGTTCACTCTCTTCAAATATGTCCAGCAAGATTATGCGATCCACGGTCCGACCTCTTAAGAATTCCTAACTCGGCATGTGCATGCTGAATTCGGAACAAATCTGCGAAAATCCCCCTCTTGTTGAACGATCCCATCAAAATGGCGTTTGAGGCAAAACCGAAAACAAGCAATAAAAACGGCGAACAGGCGTGCAGAATCGCTGTCAAGTGTCAACCCACAGCACCGAAATGCGAATCATCCATTTCCGCGAAAGCGGGCGGGGGACCATTCGGGGGGAGAGCGACGGGTACCTGCAGAATGCCGTCGAGGTGGGGCCCGGCGACGACCTCACCGGAGATGACGACGACGAAGGTGCTCCCCCGGTGGCCCCGGATGTACGGCCAGGCCTCCCGGAACCACCCGACGAACCTGCCCCCTTCGTCCGCCCCCGCCTCCCCACCACCTAAAGCCCCATCACCGAATAACCCTGCTCCACCGCCGCACCGCACGCCCGTTGCACGCCGGCGCCACGACTCAGGGGCGCGCATCGCGACACTCCCAGGCCGCGGCCGCGTCGACCCCGCCGGCGCCCGGGAGGGCTCGCCGGCGGCGCGCGCGAGGGACGCCGCCGCAGCCATCGGAGGGGTGCAGGCGAGATTCAGCGGGGACTGGTACATGAGGGCGGCGGTCTGCTTTGGCGTGGCGTGGCGCTCAGGCCGTACGCGGCGAGACGAAATGTAGAGAGAGAGAGAGAGAGAGTTGGAAGCGGCGATCGGCGAGCGATGTGGCGCGCGGAGACGGGGTTTGGGCCTGGGTTTGGGTTTGGGTTTTGCTCAGAATAAGTGGGGGAGTGGGATATACGTATACGCGAGCCGTGTTGACTGACGCTTGGGCCTTCTTGTTTGCTTCCGTGGTGGTGACTGTGATCCGACGGTCCGCGCCGGCGGCGTTCGCGTCTGGTGGAGGTTGGTCTCGGCTCGGGGGCGGCGTCAGCCAATGCCAATGCCCATGCGCGCGGTAGGTGAGAGACGCGCGGCTTCTGCGCGCGTGCAAGGGCCAATCCGAAGAAGCAGTCACTCACTATATTATCCTGCGGCCACGAATACGATTATACGAGTTTCCCGACGCTTGCGGTCGGTCAGGTCATGTCACCGTGACAAATTGACTTCTTTCACGTTTGTGCACTGCACGGCACACGGCTTTTCTCGAAAAAACGTGCACCCGAAAAAATCAACTTCCGTGGCGTACCCTCGAAAAAACGTTTGTGCGCTGCACCGCTTTTCTCCCTAGCCCTCGTTCGGTCATTGTAGCTGAAGGCCGGGCCAAAAATCACTATTTTCATCTTATTTTAGGACCATGTGACCCTCTTTTAGAAGTTTTTGTATGATCCGACCCTCGTGCCTATCCACGGACGCATCAGCTGTAGGGATAGAAACTGCATAATTTTTCCGGAGCCACAAGCCAGTACGCCCTCCGCCCGAATTTATTAGGCCTCTTTTTTGAGTCAAAATTTGATAACGAATTTAACTAATAAATATAAATGTCACAAAAATTATACTCCCTCTGTTCATTTTTATAAGGCTTTGTAAATATTTTAGACACTGTGTAAAACAGCTCAATTTCACTTGTCTGGAATGACTTATAAAACTGAACAGAGGGAGTATCATAGAAAATCTTTATCAAATACAAATCCAATAATATACTTTGTGTAGCATATCCTTTATATATTTTTAGTCAAATCCGGTTGTCCAAACCCATGGAGCTGTGAGGGGTTGACCTAGGACTCAGGTATCGGCCACCTCGGAGCATGGTAGAGAAGTTTGGGTCTAACTCAAAGCTACGGCCGAACTTCAATTCGGGTGTCAACCCATTTGGTGGTTTTCTGGTCTTGGATGTAGCTAGGGGTGCGTTGTGTCATTTCGGATCTTTCGGTTCATGCATATAATTGGTCAACAGTTGGGTTTGATGAGCGTGTGTATGGAGGTTGTAATGGGCGTATTGGTGCACCCCTGCAGTGTTAAACCTATTTGAATAGTTGTGTTCGTGATTATGGATGACTTGAATTGGCCTATTGGATCATAGAACAACTTCAATTGTTAATATTATTAGTAATAGAGCTTGTGCAACTTCAACATTTAATAATAAAACTTGCCAAATAAAAGCCTCGGGGATTCTTCTTCGTGGGTGGTATACGAAGGGGAGTGCAAGGCTATGTGATTTTACGAGGAAGGATAATACTCAGCATGGGCACAACCAGTGAGGTTATGTTACGCATGTTTTGTTCTGGATGGTTCGTATACACTCTCTATCCTTGTCTCTAATAGACGATGTCATGTCGCATAGGTGCTTCTAGCCGCTCCACTACATATCCCTTTTAAACCTATTGCTTATTAGCGTCGGTCATTCAGTGTAACAACACTTATGGAGTACACAATGTACTCACCTTGCTTTAACAAAAACGTATAGGTACGGTGATGGACGACATTAACTGGTCATCATACGGACAACAGTTTGAGCAGGGATATGGCCGGGGCTTGCTTTTGTTTTTGCCTTCTTAAGGCAATCTGTATTCTTGCATGTCTAAGGTTTATTCAGTTTTGTTGTATTAGTTGGATCTTGATTGAAAGACCCTTCTTGAATTAATTATTGTATATGTATGTTGCTGTTGCGGAATATTTTGGTATTTGTCTTGTGATATCATTTGTTCCACATGGTGGACACATTTGACGTGTTGGTTGTGTGAAGCTTTAATGTCCTTGGGATCGATTCTACGCGGCTACATAGTGTCGGTCTGGGCTGCTAGACTTTATATTGAGGTGAGAAAAAAATTAAAGGTAATGGTTGCCTTGGATGCATTTTGTCTATGCCCGCCTTTTTCCCCTCGGTAGCGCATTATGAGGGGTGTGGGGAAAGGGCGAGTGTTCGTTTGACACAATTTGCAATTCAGAAACAGTGAACATGCTCAAACAAATCAAGATTTACACTGCAAAAAAAGATTACTAAAAGTTTTATGCTCTAAAATACAAAAAGGGTGCGCCATGATTCCGCAAGAAAAAGCATAAACTATATCGCCAGGATTTTCAGCCAATTGTTTTTCCAAAATGTGTGTGTTTTGCTGAAAAAATGGGCATATTATCCTCTACTTCCCTTGCACAAACTAACAAAAAAACTTCAATAAGAAGGTTGTGTGGAAAGTTCCTGCTAAAGAACATGCAAAAACATTTACCTACAAAAAAGATGTTGAATACCTACAAAGTGTCCTATAGTGCCTTAACCCTTGATAACCTAATAAACGTGGGTACCGACAAAAATATGTTGAATCACTTGTGTAAAAGAACGATTTATGTATTATCACCTCACCCCCCTTGTCGGTGTCAAAACTGGCAGACCACGGGGTAGGGGGTCCCAAGCTGTGGATCTCGAATCGGTGCTAACAGGAACGAAGGAGACGATGTTTACCCAGGTTTGGACCCTCTCTATGGAGGTACAAACCTATGTCATGCTCTTGTTTATATTGATGATGATTTATCAAGTACAAGCTTGATCTACCTCGAGATCGTAAGTTCTATTCTGACACTAGGGCCAGGTAGGGCATCTAGAGTTACATGGTCGGTATCCAGGGGGCGATAGGAGATGACTTGGAGTATACGTCAAGCCTTTGGCAGATGTAGTCTTGGATACGTCTAGGCGTGTAGCTTTCGGAGTCCATCTGAATGAGAATGAGGGCTTGCGGGCCCAACCCAAGGACTATGGACTAAGTAGGTTGATACTCCCTAGTTCAGGACACCGTCAGTAGCCTCCGAACTGCTCTTCTACGCCGAGGATGACATCTTCAACTTAGGATCCGAAGTCCTTGGCTTGACAAATGAGTTCCCCCTTGTTGATAATTTGAGATGCTTTCTTTCATTTAGAGCCACCATGGACCACTCCTCGAAGGAATGGCGTCACTTGAAAGGGACTTGACCGAACTTGCATTGCGTCCGAAGACATGAGGTTACTTAGCCTTGAAGGCATGTCGCGTAGGTGTGAACAGTACTCCTAGCCTGACAACTTTATCGAAGCGGCACCACCCACGACTGGGCAGGCAGTTACTGTTCACCTGAATCGCGACCCAAGGCAATCCTCTTTTCGGCACGCCCCATCAGAATGAAGATCATGCCCGTTTTCTAAGGGGTATCAGTAAGATATTGTTTCTCCGTATATGCATAATGACATCTTTTTATGGGTAATGGCGATTTCAACGACGCGATCGGTGGGACTCTTGGCCATAATGACATCTTTTTATGGGTAATGGCGATTTTAACGACGCGATCAGTGGGACTCTTGGCCTTTTATCAGCCTGGGAAAAGTATGATCTCCTTCCTCCCACCTCTTGAGCTCTAGCGCCCAGATCCAATACCGAGCTCATTTCGCTTCCGCAACGCTCCTCCAACTCCACCCCTAGCCATGCCTGACGCCAATCCCAAGGGTCACTGGGCTGGCTCCTCTGTCACAGAGGGCACCATCTTGGAGTTGCGCAGCGCAGGGTCATCCCCACTCAGGTCAGCACCCGAGTGTCGGACCCGAACCTGCGAGTACCCTCCCCCCAATCCCGGGGAGAGGGTTGTCTTTGTCCCCCACCTCATTAGAGGCCTGGAATTCCCACTGCACCGTATCGTGCGCGGGGTCATGTTTTTCTATGGTCTAGATTTCCACCATATAGCCCCTAATTCCATACTTCACCTCGCCTCCTTCATTACTGTCTGCGAGGCCTTCCTCCGCATCAAGTTGCACTTCGGATTGTGGCTTAAGATTTTCGGCGTCAACGCTACAACAAAAATATACTTCCGTGATGATACGTGTTTGTCACAGTAGGTCGCGTTTTTTTGTCATGCATGTACATCCATGACGATTTTATGACAGAATCAAGATAGTCATACCTGTGATGTCGTAGAAGTGTTCCATGACATTACCAAAATTATCATCACGGAAGTGTCCACTTCCATGACGATTAATCGTGCATCACATAAGTGCTTTCGTCAAGGGTGACCGACATGTGGCATCCACCATAACGGGACGCCGTTAAGCTATCAGGTCCGGTTTTGGATCCGATAACCCATTAATAGCCCGGACCAATGGGAAATTTCCACGTGTAAAATTCCGATTGGCCGGAGGAAACACGTGTCAGCTTGTCAGTGGGTCAGATAGGCGCCTATGATATGTCGACACGTGCGACGGCCCACCACTGGCCCATTTAACTTAAAAAGGCCGGCCCGTTTGACTTGGTCAAAAGTTAGCGGGCTGGCCCATGAAAAGCTTGTTAACGATCTCTTCGCAAATAGCCCATTTTATGGCCCGTTAGGGCCTAACCGAAATTGGCCCAACAACGTCATGTGGGCCGTCGAATGTAACACCAGCCCGTTTCACTTTCGGCCCATGTATGGCCCACTACGTCTTTCGGCCCATATGGGGCCTTCGTATCTTTAGGCCATTTAGAGGCCCATAGTGACTCTAGCCCATAATGAACAGTAAATTTCTTTGTACCCGTTAACAGCTCATGATTCACATGGGCCGTTTCCAGCCCGTGTTAGCTTTCGGCCTACTGACGGCCCATACGTTCTTGGGCTCCTTTCCGGCCCTCGATTACTTTCGGCCCGTTACTGGCATGTTCCCCTAATGGGCCAAATTCGTCCTGTGG